ACGGAGGGAAGCCCGCAGCGGTTCTCTTGCATGATAACGCACCTGCTCACACTTACCAAGTGATCGCGTCAGAAGCAGCCAGTTTTGGCTAGGAATTGTTGCTACACTCCGCTTATACATTAGATCTGGTTCCATCAAACTAGTGTCGATTCCCTAAACTAAAACCTCACCTTCAAAGTAACAGATTTGCCAATACTGATGAGTTGAGTAGGGCTGTGGAGTTATTTTTAGAGGGACAGTCTTCGACCTACTTCCACACAGGGATAGCAATGCTTGAACACTGCCGGACTAAGTGTATTTAAGTTATGGGAGAATATGTTGAAAAGTAATATACTATGATCTGGATAATGATGAGTAGCGAGGAACTTTAGTGTAATTTTAGTTGCAGTTTATCACAGCCCCCACTACATCTAAAAATATGATATGAATAGCTGGCTTCATTCTGTCTGGCTGAGACCTTTCTGGTTCACCCACGTATTATTTATTCCCCATGACTCTACGTCAATTGAATTGAGTCCGTAACCTATGGAAACAATCTGATATCCATGAATCTGAGTTGGCGTCGATCGCCAAACATCTTCCCTTCTTAACCTGTCTTTCTTATTCCTGCCCCATATGGATGACATAACTAGTATCTGCTAGCATAATGCGTAATAACGAAAATATAACTATTTAGGTTATTAGGAGTTCCGCTTTTTCCCTATTCACCGCAAAACTCACTTATGTATTCTATATTCGAGTTTTCATAAGCTAGAAACATTAAATCTTTCCCCCTTCTCTTCCTGAGTGTGGATAAAAAGGGTTGGAAATTATTGAGAATACCTGTAGCTCGGGGTGTGGATGAGAGGATTGTCCTGTTCTCCGAGCCGGGCATTTCGGTTGCAGACGTTTCGTTACCAAACTAGGTAACATCTTCAGTGCGGCTATTCCGTCCTGATTCGCGGTCTCGCAAACCAATGTCAGATCCGAGTGACCTGACATTGGTTTGCGAGACCGCGAGTCAGGACTGAATAGCCGCACTGAAGATGTTACCTAGTTTGGTAACGAAACGTCTGCAACCGAAATTCCCGGCTCGGAGAACAGGACAATCCTCTCATAAAAAGGTTATTTAACTGAGTGAATCTAACGTGTCCCGTAACAAGGATACTACGAATGTAGCTGCCATCATGAATTGAAGAAGACTGTCCAGCTGATAACATCAGTTAAGAATCCGGCATAAATCTGTCAAAAGGGGGTCCACTAATTCTGATAAATATGTTAGAAATTCCACCCAGCAGAATGAAATGAAAACACCAGACCGTTACATAATCTACTCACTAATTCATTGACACTCGTACACACTGTGTTAACAAATGGGCACAAATATTGTACCTTATGATCTCACCCTATATAGGAACAGACTGTTGCTGAAGCGACAAATGTGAACTTCTTGATTTCATCAGTAAGAGGTAACCGTACCCGAAGGTCATAGCCATACGTGTCATAAATACGTGAAACAAAAGATGAGGAGCGATCCAGTGCAAAAACGAAATACTTTTGGTGGGCATTCAGTATCAAGTTTCCTATATTTCTCCAACAATGCAACGGCACAAATAGCTAGCAATCGTGTAAGGTTGGTATCAGTGAGACCTCTTTTATGTAAAGTCGATTGCTCCGTTCCACATGTAGCTACACATCCCGCATGTTGCTTTGGGTATAAATCCACCTAGGAGTAAATACCAAACAAAACAATGGCGCCGGTGGAGAGCCAAGCACAGATTAAGTCACGCAGACTTCAGGCGACAAGAGCCAAGAGCACCAAGTCTCATCATCATCATTGTCGTCAACAACAACAAACAACAACAACAACAACAGCAAAAACACACCGGCAGTTCGAACTGATGCTGCGCTACCGTACAACCACGGTGACCTACGGAACGAAGGACAATAAACAGGGAGAGAAGCGAGACTTACTGGAAAACGTTCACGCCCTAAACAAACACTCAGGACAAAGGCGCCTACATCTTGTCGACAACATATCGTCTCAAACAGCTGGCTATCGTACAAAGATAAGGTGGCATCGGGAGACAGCATCCTTGCGAACCTCACTGCCCCGCGGCATAATCATCCATTACCCCGAAGAGAACTCAGTACCAAACACATTTTAAACAGGCAATCCAACTTCGATACGATAGCAGACCAGCCATTTGAGCCGACTGCGAGCCATGTCCTGTAATTTTTCGAGCTAAGCACAAAATGCGTCACGTGGACTCCAGCCCGGACCAACGGACGGACCAACGGCACCCAGTTTGGTCGTCAGTGACTTCATCTCCCGCTGCCAAGTCAACTTCGTCGACCTCGAGCCTTGCATCACCCTACATATGGTAAACATAGCAAGGCCCTCCTCGGTTAGCGGTGACCAGGTATACGCAGTACGTGCGCAAGCCAACGCAACTTATTCAGTGCTATCTGTTGTTCTAGGGAGCTAGCATGATTATCACTACCTAGTACTCACCTACGCACATCATCGTTGCGGACACGCTGGTGATATCCGACACCAGCAATGCTCCGTAGACGACGGTGACCAAAGGCTTGAAGACGTCTCAGATCTTCAGACTGAAAGGGTCGAGTTTCACTACCATAGAGCAGGACGGCCCTCACCGTGGGCCTTGTATACACGGCCTTTCAGACAGAGAGAAATCACTTGCAGACGCCACGGATGTCACAGATTCAAGAAAGCAGTTCGCGCTTTCGTAATGCGTCTATCGTTGCTGATTCAGCTGCCAAGGTAGGTGAAGTGAGCAACAACCGAGTTGCTCGCCATCAAGGGTTAACGGGTCATCGAGTGGCTAGTGGTCCTATAACAGTACTTTGTACTCTGAAGGTGCGAAATGCGTGCCAAATGATGAGAGCACTCTAGAGAGGTTATTCAGGGTTGACTGCGCCGTCCGGAAATCGTTAAAAACAGGGCAATATCGTCCGCCTCATCAAGACCAAATAGCCTTTCACCAGCCAGCACCTCAACGCCTGGATCGGGAGACTCCGCAATGTAACACTCCATGATGCAGTTCACGACGAAGTTGAACAAAAATGGAGGAACTGGACACCCCTGACGAACGCCACTTGTGGTCGGAAGGGTATCCGAGAAATCACCGTAGAACCTGACGCAGCTTGTGGCGTTGGAGTACAAACAGAAAATGTTAACATATTTCATGGGAACAGCTTTCCGTACAAAAACGTGGATGGGAAGGTGAGATGGAATACAAAAATAGTTAATGAGAAAAGTGGAGAAAACTGACCAGGTTGAAATAATAAAAGAGACCTAAAAGAGGCCGAACGTAGGAGCACTACTGAGTCGTGCGAGATAGGATTTCCAACCACTAATGTGACGCATCTTCCATCAATAAGGTAAATACTAGCACAATCAAGTCTCGCAACTAATTTCTCCGCGCATTTCAGGTCATGTCATGCACTGGCCATCTCACAGAATCACTCAACAAAATGCGGTAAAGGTAGAGGATGCACATAAAGGAACGGGGTTAGCGGGGGATACCAATGACATAATACAGCAATGTAAGCGGTCCAAGATTAAACACACTTCAGTGAGGTACAAGTTTCGTTCCAACTAATGGACTGCAGTATTGCTGCTCACTCAGTGTCTCCGTCAGATAAGTTCAATACTCTACAAGCACCTGTGATCAAAGACGAGCAGAGAACAAAGCAATCATGCTTTCGATTCAATACCAGATCACTGTAGCGCTGGACCACCCCCTGCCTTCAACTGGGTAGCTGATGTCTCACCATATCCATAGAGTATCTAAGTCTTGAAATGCCGTACGGGAGCCGCCGCTAGCACGAGAAGCGAGCTCCTCAGAATTGTGATCACTAGAAGTGCTTAGCATATCGAAAATGCAAAGAAAGTGTCAAATCACTCAGAGCTCGTCGTCATTCTAACCAGAGTCAATTGTACAGATGTCGGATCAGAAACGCAGCGGGGCTATGTTGTCTAGGTGTTGCAACTTTGTCAATTGGTCGTCTAGCAGAACCTCCATTGCATAAGGCAACGGGAAAGAACTACGTGTAGTCGTTTAGTGTGGTGGGGCAGAAAACTCGGTTGGAGCCGGTTAAATACGTCTTTCAAATAACACAGCAGCACCACTAGATGCTTCAGAGCAACGGAAAAAACTAGCCCGGCCAACACTGAGATAATTACAATGGTTAAACGAGGGGACATGTTGACGCCGCATTAGTTAGAAGTGCTGTAGTACGGTTTCGATGGCAAACGCCAAACGTCCGTCTCATCTTCTGAAGACAAGAAGATTTCAGGAAACTTGAACTGTTAAACATTTTTGGTTGAAACAGCCAAACTTGCTAACTAAACAATTTGATGAAAGTCGGTGATATTGGTTCGCAAAAATAATCAGTTTCGGTAGTTGTTTAGGGTGAAAGGATGACCCAATTGATATGGAGCAAGATGGGAACGAATCTGGTCAATTACATGTGGAAGGACCGGTGGTGAGCAAAACAGTAATTCCGAGGCAGATAGACTGCTTTGACAGACACTTGGAAGATATGCGATGGAGATTCGTCAGAAGTGCGTATTGCGGTCGTACATTGTGGGGCTAGCACCTGCAACCCTACGCATACACCTCCGTCGTTAAGACCACTGGGTCACGGAGATGAGCGGCAGTCGCCGTGACTAGGTAACTGCTTGTGATACGGCGCGTGTACTCATCCTTCATAGCCACGCGCGCCTCCAATATGTAGTGGTCAATGTTGGCCCCTTCAGCCGTGATCTTCCCTTGCTGAGTCGCCAACGTCCAAGAGCATTATACGCTAGCGTGATCATGTACGGATTTTTAGGTAACAATGGAAGGTTTTGAGTTAGATTTGGAGATTAGTGAAAGACGTGTGGGAACACACGAGCGAAAAAAACGCATAAAAAGCTACAGGTAGGGAAATACGCGTAGTAAAAGAAAGAGATCAAGTACCGTTGAAAAAAACGCGAGACACCATCTCACCTGAGACACATAGAGTTCCGTTCCGTTGGAGGGAATAAACGCACTGGTGGTAACGCATCCACTGAAGACGATTCGCAACAACGGTTTGTCCAGAGTGGGACGGTGTCGACTAGGCCGCGCAGCGGAGGACAAGTCTAAATCCAGTCGGCGCAAATTGTCTCTTATCGTTTTGGCCATCCAGGCAACACGGTCATGCAGCCTGGAGATGTCTTCAGACAGCTGAGCGCCCATGGGATCTAGGTCGCTCAAAGAGTGCTGTTGGTCCACGGGGGAGACAAAGTCCGGTGCACGCAAGAAGAAATACTGAGGATTGTTTGCTAACACGGCTTGCTGGATAGATCGGAGTGGGGCGACTAGGAAGCCTTCGGGATCGCAAATGTCACCGTTAACATCGTCGTCAAAACCGTATTCTAAAGTCAGACAAAACATTATGATTTGGAAGACGTAGACGGTGAAGAAAACGGGAACACGATCTAGCAAATGACTTGACCAATCAGTGTACGAGAACCAAACCGCGACTCGCCAACCTGCCGTGTTTTACACCACAGTCCTAAAGAAAAGTTTAGTGAGTTGGGGTAGTTTAAAAAGGAACGTGGTCCTTGAAAGGAACATGCTGACACATAACACTCGAGTCAAAAGAACTCTCTTATCACGTGAAGTGCTACCTACCTGAGCTGTTTACAACCGTACGGACCCTCACATATAGAAGTCGTTCAGTGTAAGTGGGGACGAGAATAGGATGTGCATTTCGAAAAATTAATACTAAGAGGAAGCCAACTGCAATTAAGTCTGATCAACCAATTAGTCAAGAAAAGACTAGAGGGACATTTTGATCTTTGAGGACTCCTCAGTTGCATACCTTCGCACGGTCAGAGTAAAAGCCAAGACCCTCTGTGGATAGTAATAATAATGTAATAAATAATGTGTCAGCTGTACGCCGTAACGGTGCTTCGTTGCCGCGCGACCACCACCAGTCGCGCGCGGGCTGTGTATGCCGCGAGGACGCCCACCCCTACGCGGATTCGAACCGGTGACCTTATGGTTGCAAAGCGGACGTGCAGACCACGCGGCCACCGGCCGACACAAGTATAATGAATGGTACTGATAGCCATGGGAACGCGATATTTGAGTTGCTGGTCTAATCGGAATGTCGTGTTGTAACGCGGTGCGTCATTCCTGCTCGTCGTGACCCTGACTGCAGTCGCTTCATCCTGCACTTTGTTGCTCTCGAGCTTCTCGGTCACTAGTGGTGTGGCTTGTCAGCAGACACCCAATACATCGTTTGTCGATAGGAGTTCTTATCAGGTGATTGGGGTTTGACTTCTGGCCACATACCTTCTCTTTGCTTTCCATTGCAGGGCATCAGGTATATTGTCACCTACTCCTGGTGTGGGATACGGAAGAACCCCAAAACCCAAATCCAGAGGAGTAATACGGTGTTTTCTCAAACTTGTTCGCATGTCAAGCCCCTATCTGGGCTGTGATCGACACCGACAACAGTTGGCGTGTCGTTTTACCGCGTACCTTTTCCGCTTTGTCCGAAATCTGGTTCGGTCCCGATCCCGACATCACCTGTCTTGATTTTATCGCATCCCGTTCCCTGCGATCGATGCCCAGCTCAGTCACGTCCTAATTTCTATGACCTTGGCATAACACCTACGCACACACACACACACACACACTATCCTGTGTTACGCTTTGTCTTACCTGACATTCGAACTGATTTTGAACGGATCGAATTTGAGTCATTGCACGAGTGCTCCTTACAGTGCGCGTGGTTGCTACTTAGATTGCCAGCGGCGATTCAAGTTGGTTGACGCGAACGGATTGCTATTAATCATATTGCTTGATCTGTCTGCACAGCCAGTATGTTTGCCCCTTGGTTTTATTGCGGCAACGTAATTGTACTTCGATTCACGGTTTGCTCTGGGGATTTGACCCAGAGGTAGTTTCTGCATTGGAAAACGAACTGTTGGGGCATTTGAGTTTGGGAGCCGTTAAGGCATGGTTCACTTTGTTGTTCAAATTTGGTTCAACAGCACCGTCGCCTCGATCCTCTTGATGCATTGTCGGTGGGATACAACATCGCTTAAATTTCCAAGCGTTTAGGGCGCTTACAGATTTTACAGAGTTACAGATTTTAATAAATGAAACGGTCAACTGCATGCTTGGCTAAAATGTAGCGAAAATGTCATCGAAACCACCTTCGTCTCCATCCCCAATTATATGAGTATCATGTACGGAGAATGAGTGGTAATAAGTGATCACATGAAAGCAACCCGTCACATAACGAGCATGAAACGGTGTTAATTGGCTGTTCTGCACACACGTTAAAAAAGATCAGCAATTGCCAGTGCTGTACCTCAACGACAGACCGTAGAAACCAAGGTTGAAGCTACTTGCAGTTAGAGGCACTTTATCAACTGCGGGTGACGCAAACTACCCATTTCAGTTCTTCCGAGCGTCAGGTGTATACTGATCAAACCTACTCAAAAGGGATGTACATCGATTTACCGATAAGTACACAATGTGTCGATTTTTGTGTCAAAGATGAAGGATTGCTTGAAGCATGCTAATGTGAGCAAGGTGATCCGCAACCGTTACCATGCAAATACTGTTCGCCTATGCCCCAACAGATACTACCGTAGGGCTATGACGGAGAATTGTCGGTTTTTCTAGGCACCAGCAACCGCTGTCTTATGGTCCAGTGGAGGGATTTCAAACTACGTCAGTGTAAGATACCAGCTGAAGAGACCAAACGCTTCGTCGAACGGTGCCAAGATGAAAAAATGCGAGGCTCTAGCGGTACAAAAATACCAATGTTTACAGAGCAAATGTAGGCATCAAGAGGTGGTTCGCACACTTGAGATGGTCGCAACACGTGTTTTTCCATAACCGTTTAGCACGGTGATCGAAATGCTTAAAACTGATTTCCATAGTCGCTCTCTCAGATGGCAAGTTAGCAAACCTGGGTTATGAAGACCATGTAAGTCTATTGGGTCGGATTCTCTCCCAGGATGTATGCGGCGCTAAATCCCTTGCCACCCAATGATGCACATTTGTGCTGTACCGCATTCTAAAGGCATGACGATATAGGAAGAGTTGGTCGTCAAGTCCAACGCACCCCAGCAATCAATCGGACCATGATGAATGGAAAAAAAGCATCAGCAATACGCCGGTACGCAGTAACGACGATTCGCTGCCGTGCAACCACCACCGGTCGCACATAGGCTAGGATACTGTGAAGATCGCCCTGCCCTACGCAGGCTCGAACCCGCGCCGTAAGATTACAGGACAAGCTTGTTACCTACGGGCAGAAAGTAGAAGCTATCGGACCCATGCCGACTCAAAGACACCTTCCTCCAATGTGGAACAAGCACAGTCATTTAAGGAAGTAACAGGAAGCGTCCATCCATCGTAATGAACAACCGCTCAGTCCAGCCCAACGAGAAAAGGTAGGTAGGAAGGCAGGTTAGAGAAGTACACGGGAACCTGAT